GGGTAACCGCAAACTATTTTCAAGATGCATTTTTTTTTGTGTTGGGGAGATGTTAATTTATATAACAGTTTCGCAAGCTCTCGGACAAGCACTGAGCATACAGTGCTTATTAATATACGTTGGGTAAGGGCAAAAACCTGTTATATAAATTAACATCTCCACAACGCAAAAAAAATACATCTTGAAAAAGACTTTGGAGATGTTAGGTGGCAGGAAACATACCCATCCCATTTGACCATCTTGGTTTTGTTTGCGTCATTTTGAGCATGCCTAGTTCAGTATGGGAGTCTCCCGTTATTTTGACTCCATCAGACTGGGTTACAGGTTAAAGGGAAACATGAACAATGCCACGACAAGTGATGGTTGCTCGAGCAATAGAAAGAACATCATGCACCACAAAATTTCCGAGTAAAAATTGTTTTTTGCTTTATAGACAGCAAATTTCTACTTTAAACAGCTGCATGCCCTTGGGTCTCTTAGGGGATTTGATATCCACGCCTAAAAAGCACACACCTGCTTCGCACGAGGTCATATTTGTCATGCCCTCAAAGGGGCAATAGAACCCGGCCTGGCAGGTCAGACAAGCGCCCGCTCTGTCATATGGCATGTAGGTGCCCAGCTGGCACGGGGTCTGCTGGGTGGCCCCTGACTCCGAGTAGTGGCCTGGCTGGGTGACCGTCTGGTTGGGGGTTCGGGCACCGCCAGTGCAGTAGTAGCCCGGGTTGCAAGGACCCGTCGGACCTGAGTGGCGTAAGAATACAAACAATGGAGGGTACAAAATATGCGTGATTTGGTGTCAGAAATGGGATCAAAAAACATTCAAAAAGACCTTGTGGGATTCTGATAAAACCATCCATGTTTCTGTCATCTCTTATGGTCCCATAGGATCCTTTATGTCTGAAGGCCTGCTGCTGATTTCACAAAATGTGGCGTAAATTTGAACCAAATGTAAGCCTTGCGACACAAATTTGTGACGTAGCTGCGCAAGCTACTTATATTCACTTTCACAATAAGTTGCTTTAATAGCTATACAACATTGTAATTACATCACAATCACAATTTTGTAAAGGCTATTTCTTTCCAATATTACAGCAGGCATCAAACATTCATCAAATTTTTACAGGAAACTCAAATAATTACAACTTTCAAATTTCATACTCTGATATGTCTAGACGACTACCTAGCAACAAATGTTTGATATCAGACTTTGCAGCCCTTAGCAACAAATAATTAAAACTAAACCAAGAACTAACAGCATCAAGTCCCAAATATCTGCCTTGTGCTTGGTTATGAAAAATACTCCATTATGGCAAAGACCAGCAAATCTGTATTAACCACTACCAGCCGGGGACTCCGAAATCGGAGCCGTATGGTTTACATGTGTGGCCGGGGTCTCTGAACTCGGACAAAGGAAACAGGGCCCTGTAACAAAAGACCGTACTCGCTGCTGGGCATTACCGGCATTTTTCACTCTCAAAAGTGGTGATAATCCAGCGTTGTTTTGAAACCTTATACCAGGGTTTGGGGCATTGAGAGCAAGCGGATTACCACCGGGGACAAAAGCTCTCCACCACCGCAGCGATGAGCCACACAGCACCACTGCATGCTAATCTGGCCCCTATTGAAAAGAGGTCAGCAGTGCACTGAGCCAGGTTCGTGAACAAAAGACAGTTACATAACACCGCACAATCGGGGCTCTGTTTACAAGGCTGCAGGCCTGGCTGAAATATTTGGGCGTCAGTGAAGGTCACCTGTCAACTTAGAGTAGTGCCTGAAGATTACNTCCGTGCGGCTATAAACGACTGTTAAATGGAATGATGAATTGTTGAAGGATTTTGAAAACGGACAAAATGATAGTCATGCCGGCACAGCATCATCAACATTGAAAAATGCCCCGGCACGAAGTGGTTAAGTGGACAAAAGACACTTCACAGGGCAGGCCACAGTGACATCCAATCCTCCTGAAAATCATGGCAGAAGCCCTCCTCAAGTTCCATTTTGAATCGACTTCAATATTGCTTGCTACTTTTGATGGAAAAAAAAAATTGGATCGCCCATTTCTTACTCGGTGTTCGAGCGTTGCTGCAGTAGAAACCAGGGTCGCAATCGAAGCAGTCGTAGTGGTTGATGGCACCCGAGGTGTTACTGTAGGTCCCAGGTGGGCAGGGCAGGCTGGTGTAAGAACCTGTAATTGAAAAGAGGTCAACACAGGTTGTTAAAAAGCAGCGGTTGAGACTCAGTTTCCAACGCATTGGCCAATCACAATGCGGGAAATCTGTTGACCCTTTCCAAACACACATTGGGTTGGTAGATTTTGCGTATTGTGATTGACAACGCGCTGCAAACTCTTGGGGGCAAACTATTGTGAATCGTCCGTATTCAGCCACCCCTGTGAAGAATTTCCTTATTTCTCTAATTTTAGCAGATTTATGAAAGGCTTTTTACTATGCATTTTTCACAATGTTTTGTGAGTCACCCCATAAGGCCAGATGCCACAAAATGAGTCTTAAAGTCATTTTCTTCCCTAAAGAAAGAACAAACTGAACAATTTGGATACATGACTCAGTTTGGCATCCTGATAACAAATGAATGCAGTATATGGGTGAAAAGTGTTACAAAACATTATTCGTGATTCTATTCACAGCCATCAATTCAAATGCAAGAGAATTGAAATTCATTCTACTAAAAAAAAAAGTTGGGTCATGTGTCTCAGAGATATCAGAGAGATCCTTCACTTTACCCAGTGGGCAGTAGCCGCCTGCGGGGCAAGTCTCTCCAGTCACACCGTCAGTGGGGTCTGACGACGTGGCACCCTCGTAGCAGACGAAGCCCGGGTCGCAGGGGGCCCGCGGGGAGGCCAGGCCAGGGGCGTCGCAGTACCAGCCGGGATCGCAGAGCTGGCAACTTTCCAGGGATGGAAGAGCTGTGGTGGTGGAGGAGGGGCAAAGGAGGGGAAGAAACAGAAAAAAGATGGGAGTGGATCACAAGGCTTGACGTTTTTCCTTTCAGCTGGCTGATGCAATAATCAGACGTGTTTCGCAACTGTGAATAGATGTACGTTTCTTCTTCAGTCACTGGTTGGGCATTTTTGTGACTCCAATATGCCAGTACGACATCATTGTTCAAACCAATAAAGAACCAGAGGCAGATCAATTACCATTTGCAGACCTCCCAACATTGACTATTAAGAATTTGGAATCCTTCTCCCCAAAATTCAGAATTTTCCATGAAAACTCTAAATTTTCCCTGTATTACCATGAACCACGAAAAATCTGTGCTGCACTGTACAAGAGTCCGGTCCATGTCCGTGATGATGTACAGTATCGCGTGTACTCGCCGATTACATAACGTTTCGATTTCGACAGAGATTACATCATCTAAAATGCTTTGCAATCATTATTCATCTCCTATAATATAGGTTGATTCACCACGAAATTCAGCGCGAATTCAGCATGAAATTCAGTGAAAAATTCAACGCGTGCTGCTTGCACACTTGACATGATCGCAGTTGATTTCACAGCAGTGCTTAACCTTGGATCCAAAACATTCTTAGCAGTGGTTCTAGAAAAACTAGGCGGCGCGCGACGCATACCGGTACAGTGTTTGTTTAGTTACAATGTAGTTTGTCGATAGAGGTCGTTTTTGTCCATGAATGATTTTGGTATCACGTCCATGTATCACACCCATGACGCGGCTGGTACGCATCAAAAGAGGGTGCTGCCACGGCCGTGGCTCATGCAACGTGCACTGCACTGGCTGTTCAGGTAAGTCAGATACATGTACATGTAAGTCATATTACAGTACATGCACAAGATTACATGGACAGTTTCCAGTAATACATAGCGTGTCAAAATTGCTATTTGGCTGTTCTTTTTGGGGGCGAAATCGCAACAGTGAAAACTGAATTGAAAAAGCGGAAATTTTTCGCCAAAATTGGGAGGGTTGGGGGTCTGCTTTTGGTCAAAACGGAGAGAAAAAAGCAGACGCTGTTCTTATTCCCCAATTATAAAGTGAATAAAGCATTCCCAAATTTGTTATTACGTATGGGCAGAGAACCGGACTACATTGTTTCTTCAAAATGAGAGAGCAGTGGTGTTTTAGAGTGAAAGGACCTGTTCTCAACAATGCCACCTGCTACCTTGTACTTTGTCAGCCAACAAAACCACTTCTGGTTCTGCACTTTCTTTGTTGCCTCCCTAAACATGCTTCTGGAAATGTCTTAAACATGTTTCTGTTGGGGGTCACAAAAACACGCCCCTGCACAAGCAAAAAGGGGAAAGGGTCTATGGTATCATACCTTCTTGACTCTTTTCAAACTTCAAGTTATAGCGGTGTTAACAGAAAGCCGAAGAACAACATCTTGGTGCAAAAAACAACCAAACCAAACTCGCACATTTGCGTTTTTTAAACTGTGAAAAATTTGGCCGTTTTTTTCTGAGGAAACCACCAAAAAGTCTAGTACTGCTCTCTTCTTCACAAAGACAAAAAGTCAGAAAAACAGATGAATTTGCTGGAAAACAGGATCTCAAGTGAGGAATGATCTTGATTTTCAAGCCTAAGATTGTTACTTCACTCAACTGAAACTGATAAAGCAAAGAAAGTTTCCTTTGTAACAGTGGCTCAGGTGCTGAGAAGTGTTACAATAATTCTTACAGGCAAGACTGACGACAAGGTGTTGTGGAGTAATTTGTCTTGTTTTTACCTGTTGAGTTCCCGTATCTGCCGATGGGGCAGGGATTAGCGGCCGACGAGTTGTCCGGGCAGTAGAAACCTCGGGGGCACTCGATGGGGTTGCCCGTCCCCAGCGGGCAGTAGAAGCCTGCAGGGCAGGGGTCACAGTCCTCCAGGTAACGCCCCCCGGAGGTGTCAATGTAAGTGCCGCCAGGGCATGGAACCTGGATTGCAGAAAGTTGCCGAGAGATTTTCAGAAAGACAATCCCCAATAAGTGGTAAAATGACCATGCCTGAAAGGGACTGCTGTCAAGAGCTGTGATAGGCAGAAGGCAGCCAATTTGGCCATGGCTGGAGACATCTATTTGGTAATGAGAAAGACTGCATCCTGACTCCACACAAGTTCATCAATGTATCTCACTTTGGAAAGAAACATGTACTTTGAGATGTGATTCAAACTCCAGTAGGCAAACTGTGAGGGTGTGTTCTCGTGTAAGTGATCGTAGAGTCAGGTTAGCATAGTGGTTCTTTCCTCGCCTTCCACCTCTATGGTCTGGGTTCAAATCCCGGCTCGGGCCAAATGTGAATTGGGTTTCAGGCCCTACCTGATTCCGTAGGTTCTACCTAGAATATTCTTCTGGGGTTACCCCTTCTAACACTCTTAACTGCTTCTCATTGTCTCCTCTCTGCAGGTTTCTTTTTGCGAGCTAGTGCCTAGGGGGCTTTTGAGGAATCCTTGGTGTCATTACCGGAAATGATAATAACCAAAAGCTGATAAAGGCAGAACCAAGTTGAAAGTGCCAGAGCATTTTGCTTGATAAGGCCCTGTTGGGGATAGCATCTAACAACTCACCTGCTGTGGTCCGTAAGAGCCGATAGTGGCCGGGTTGCTGCTGTAAGGGTTGGCGATGTTGGTCGGGCAGTAGTAACCCGGCACGCACTGTCCGGTGACTGCCAGGGTACCCTCCAGGCAGTACCAGCCGGCATCGCACGCCGTGCACTCGTTGACGTCACCCAGGCCGGTGGTGGGGTTGTAGGTACCTACTGGGCAGTTAACTTCAAAGGGCGTGGCTAAAAAACGGGAAGAAACGGGTTGAGTATTTGAATTGACATTCTTGGAATTTTGGTTTCCATGCAGGAAAAACTGAGAGTACTTCCATGCAGTGTTGAGATCAACTACTACTGAGGGCACTGAATGATAGTGCAGTTTAGGAAATTGTAAGAATTATTGTTAAATGGGGTATTTTCAAAATGTGTATGACCTGTGCACAAGTAGGGTACCTTATAATTCTGGTCTGAGGCTTCGTGTACAGCAACCAAAGGATTCCCCTAAATATCTGACACCTTCTACGGGTCCCATCCACAATGATGAAATCAGCCGTTCAAGAAAAATCCACTATGCATCGAACAAGGTGGTTGCAGTAATGACAATATACTGCAAATTTTCAGGTTTGACAATTTATGGGTTCTCTCCCAAATGGCTTGGTGTATGCCGATCTTGCACTGGTTTTTTCATTCAAACTGTGAATACATATAATTGAATTTCTGAAAAAATCTTGAATTCTGAGGTCGAGAAATCCTGAAATCTTTGGCAACATCCTGAAAAAATTACACCATGCTTCATCTTCCCCCAGCCTCATGCAGAGTCCCAAGGGACTTGGTTGGTCACTTCCATGCTGTCAGACCAACCTTCTGGGCAATAGTGCCTCTGGCTACAGTTGGTCGCCTCCCCGACATTGTTCAGCCCCCCGGCGCAGTACAGGCCGGCCGGGCACCTTTTGTTGGTCAGCATGTCCAACTCCGAGGTGGTGGCATTGTCGCAGTAGTAGCCGGGCTCGCAGTCCTTGCAATTGCTCTGCTTGGTGGTCGAGTACTTGCCCGTGCCGCAGTCGTTGGGGAAGATGGTTTGTGAGCCGCACCAGGAGCCCCCCGGGCAGTCCAAACAGTCGCTCTGGTACTTGGCCGTCTCTCCGAAGAGGTAGTCCGAGGAGTTGACGCCGTAAGGCATGTACGTACCGGCGGGGCAGGGCTCGGGGGCGTTGACACCGTACTCGCAGAAATGGCCTGAAGAGACAATAACAAGGGGTGGCATTTTGACATCAATGATCTCAATCATATCAAGCCAAAAATGAAACATTTAACAAGAGGTATTAACTGGAGGTTTACCTTGAGGCTTTATGAGGTTGAGCAAAGTAGGAACCTCAGGGTAAAACCTTGAGATATCCTTTGTTTAATTTTGCATTATTCCTTACAAGCGTTGTTTAACTTGAGAAACACAACTGACTTCAAGCCTTGTCTATACAAGAAGAAAACATCAAAACATTTTGGAAGCTTTGTTTCAATTTTACAAATAAAATGGTAAAGAACTTTCACACTGAGATATGACTATCCGTAGAGCCCATAACACATTTCTAAATTTAATCTTAAAAACCTCTTCAATCCTACATGTTTCAAATTCACATTGAATACACTGGTTCACATGCATCTGCACCAATCAGTCACTGCAACCAAGCCCACTTCCGTTCATAGGAAGTGACAGGTCCCACACCTTCTACTCCCTCAAACAATGAATACACAAGGGGTTAAAGATCAATTCGCCGACCAACCTTGGGTGCATGGTTTGCAGTCGGCCTCTTCATCCTGGCTGTAGTCCCCGTTGAAGGTGCCATTGGGACAAGGGTACTGCTCAGCAAACTTGGTGCCTAGGGGACAGTAGAACCCTGGGGGACAGGGACCAGACTCGGTCGGTTCCCCGCCTAACAAATCAACCAATGGGATGAATAATTAATTAAACATAGGGCTAGGTAGCTCAGTCGGTAGAGGGCCAGTACGTCCAAACACTGCTCCGGTCAATTTCTTTGTTCATCTTTACAAAATGCCCTGACTACTGTAATTCAAGCTTGTAATTAATGCCAAGAATAAGTGACATCCTGCCAATCTACAAGCTGCAGTAAAAGTCGATGACATCTGTGTCTTCACGGCCAACATTTGCAGCAGAGACGTCTGATTTTTAATTGCAAAATGCACTTGTGTTTCAAACCTTTCCTTAGATATGACAGCAATGACAACAAATTTTGTAGCACTCTTGAAAATCACAGCTCTGTAGGAACCATAGGAAACAAAACAGTCGTTCAATTTGAAAAAAAAAAATTCTTGGTAAAAAACATCAAATTGAGATATTTGCGACAACTCTTTGTGCAACTCGGGACAAATTTCCATTTCAAAAATGAGAGTTTAAGCAAGGAGAATGGAGCTATGCTAACATTACTAGTTGCAAAATCATCACACCACATTGTGATAAAATTATTGTGCAACTGAATAAAGAAGTCACTGTTATCATCGCTTTGGGAGTTTTTCGTCAGCTCTTTAAGCAACACGGCAAGAACTTGGAGGGTGGTTGGGATAGTGGTTCTTTTCTTGTCTTCCACCTCTGCAGTCAGGGTTTGATTCCCGGCTTGGTCCACATGTGGATTGGGTTTTCAGTGCCTGGGGTTTTACCCAGCATATTCCTCGGGGGTTTTCCTCCCACCTCTTAAACTGTATAAAACTGCTTCTCATTGTCTCCTCTCCACAGGTTTCTTCAAGCTTGCAAGCTTGCAGTGCCTGGGGGACTTTTGAGGAATCCTTGGTGTGTGATTACCAGAAATACGTAATAATAATAATAAACAGATAAGAAGTTTCCAACTCGAAGACTCTGCCCTACCTAAACAGTAGTAGGTTGCAGTACATTCGGTGCACTCGCTTGGCTGTGTCAGGTTGGATAAGGGGGAGAACGTTCCCTCTGGGCAGGGGTAGCGGTCGGGACTCGGCGTCTGCAGCGGGCAGTAGTAACCTGGCTTGCAAGGCTGAGGTCCGTTGACGTTCTCTCCTGTGAAATGAATAGGGAACAACATTACATATTGTACTTAGACCACAGCTAGCTGCAGTTTACAACTAATGAAACTGACGATACAAGCCAGCTTTGTGTCCTCTCTGAATCCTTTTCGCTTTGAAAATACACGACAAAAATGGAAGTGTTGTATCCAACACTTGCGTTGGTTTGGTCAGTGACTGCACAATAAAAATGATGAATCCAGCATAAATCAAACAGCTTTTACATTAGAATTTAAGTTCCGGTTTAAATTCAAAATTTGCCAAATCAGCATTTTAAACTTCGAATTATACAGTTTAACAGTTGACAGTTGGTGTCAAGTGAATGCCTATATTAACTATCTGAGGACATGAATTGGTATTTGATTGACCCCACATGGTAGGGGTATTGCCCGTCTCAGTGCTGTGTATGTCTAAGAATAAACACCACGTCAGAAACTTTGCCAAGCGCCCACAGTTTATAGCTAAGCGTACTGTGCATAAGATAGGTACACATCAGTGTTGTAGTCGAGACCACTTAAGACCTTCGCAAGACCAACACAAGACCTTCAGTCTGAATTCAAGCAAGAAGCTATTCAAATGAACTGCAACAAAAGCTTTCCTTTGCCATTGTTCACCCTGTTACTTGCATCTGGTCTTGTGTCTGGTCTTGTGAAGGTCTTAAGTGGTCTTGACTACAACACTGGTACAGTATGGTAAAATACAGTAAAATCTCGCTAAGTTGAAGCCTGTTAAGTCGAAACTCCATTTACTTCGACATCTTTCTGTATTCCCGACACATGAATAGGCCCTTATGTACAATAAACTATCTGCAACTCGAAACGTCAATACCACTAAAGCCGCTTATCTCGAAGATTTGGTAGGCCAATTAAAAAAAAACACTGAAGAATGATGAATAAAAAGTGATGAAAGAACGCTTGCCTTCATTATGAGTCATTACTGTCACGCGCACAACTTTTCTTTGATGAGCCGAGCATGTTCACACGGGCTGCCATTGTCACGTCGACAAGCACTGGGTTGGCATCAACCGCAACCGTAAAAAAGGCCGTGTCTGAAATGGGCTTCCGGAGTTACGGCTAGGTCTATTGTCTGCGCGTCTCCATGCATTTCCAATGGAGTGAATACCAAGACCTAGCTCTAGACAAGAGATTCGGATGAAGCCTAAATCAAGCAAGTACATGTATCACATGACCCAGCACGGAAACCCTGACCGACTGGCACAGCTCGCGCGCTGCAGTATGCGGTAACAGCCCGATCAAGCAAAGCAAAAGAATGAATTCTCAAGACCTAGACACTAGACAGGTACCGGTACATAACTTCATTGGTTTATCATTTATTAATGTACCACATAAAAACATGTTTAATGATGATGTTTGAGGAAAACTTGCACAGTAGGGATAGCCTAAAATCCACTTCGTGTTTGACTCAGCTTGCACGCCAACTGCCGTAAGCCAGTAAGATTGCATGTGCACTGAAGCATGTAACTTTTGATAACTCAAACGTTGGATAACTCGAACTTTTCGTCCCATCCCCTGAGCTTCGACGTATCGAGATTTTACTGTACAATGTACTTTGCAAACTCAACAGCTGTATCATATTAGCGTAGAATTGACATAGTAAAGAGGCACTGTCATGCTGGAGATGAACCTTCTAAGCAGGCTGTTAGCCAGTAACTAAGGACTAAAATTAGTTCGTGAATGCCGCTGACCTGGCAAACTGTCATTATTGCGGCCAGGCCTTTATTTGCCTGCTCTTCAGGGACGAAAGGGTAGCTTACTCTGAGGACACAACCATGATTGATAAAAGTCCTCAGAGGTAACAGAACTGATATGCTATTAATGGTCTGTCAGTCCAATCCATATTTTCAGTCGTCTTGTCATACCTGTTGCCCAGGTACAGTACTTCCCAGCAGGACACGGTGAGCATTCCTCTGAGGACGTCAGCTCAGTTGATCCGGTGTATGTCCCCGGAGGGCAGGGAAACTGGTCATTGGTAATGGTCCCGTTTGGACAGTAAAATCCTGCAAAATAAAATCCACATTTATGAGTATGCAGAAAAATTTTGAAAAATCTAAATGTCTTTACATCTGATACTGTTATTTCCTTTTGTGAAAAACCAAATCATGAAAAGAGATACTTGACCAGAATTAACTCCAGCTATGGAAGTTGTCCTGTAATATTGTGGCATCAAAATTCAGAGGACTGGTAAAAACCTGGTTTAAATGCATCCTGTACTTGTATCTTGTCATTTCAATCAACAAATTAGAATCAAAATAAACAGCCTCATTTTGGAAAGCTTAGCTTATCAAGGGCCAGGAATGAATTAGAAGTAGCAGGGTAAAACTCCAAAATTAATTTACATTTCCCCGGTGCAAGTCCATCCTTGAAACACTTCAAGAATGTTTAGACACAATGTCTCACTGACACTCTTATTTTTCACTGTGATTATCACACTGAGGCAATTTTTTTTCTACATACCTTCAGCACATGGGTGTGAGCTGTTGCTCAGTCCTGAGAGCGGGCAGGACCTCCCACGATCACAAAGCCGACAGTTGTACTGATGCCCCGCCCCCTCATCGGGGTTGTAGGTACCCGGTTCGCAAGGGGTGGGAGACGTGGTTGGATTGGTGGCACTACCATGGGGACAGTAATGGCCAACGGGGCATATGATGCACTGGGTGGAATTGGCAAACCCGAGCTCGTCGCTGGAAATGAAAGACGTTATCAATTATGCGCATTCGTGACATATGAGCGACCACTGAATATCAAATCATGTACCACGCTCCTTGCTACACAGATGGCAAAGTGAACACATTGAAGTAACAATCAATAAGAAAGAGAGTTATTGGCAGTTTATTCTCTGCACCCCTCCCAAAGAGCATAGAGGAAAAGGCACCAAGTCTGGCAGCAAACCAACCAAAAACTCATAATTTACAGGGCTACTCCAGCAAGGTTTTGTTTTTAGGTCATGTCTCAAGGTCCCTACGATGGAGGATAGAATTCCAGAAGGGATAAAATTAGGATGGATAAAAATTCAGAACCTCATTTATAGTCAGGTAGGTAAGATAGAGGTACAACTTTTTAATTTTAGGGGTTTTTGGGGAGGAGACAACAAAGTTTAATATGTTGTAGAATCCCATCCTCTCTTGGCCAGCCAAAGTCAGTTTTGACAGGTTTCGTAATGTGAAGCGAGATTTAACACAGCAATTCAATGATAACTGAAGTTTTGGCATGTCCAGTGTACTGCTTAAAAGGAAGAGAAAAATCACCCAATGTTCAATAAAATGAACATTTCAACTATTCACAAAGATTGAGCCCAGTGTGGCTGTCAGCAAAGTACCCATAGTATCCGAGCGGGCAGGCATTGTTGGTCCCCGACGCCTGGCCGGCTAAGCAGTAGAACCCCCGGGGGCACTCATTGGACTCGTAGTCAGAGCTGCCCTGGGGGCAGTAGTAGCCCGCTGGACACTCCTTACAGGCGATGAACTCTGACGATTGGTTGGTCAGGTCATTGTAGGTCCCACCTATGGGCATTCAAGGTCACGGGTCAAAGGTTAAAGTCCATTACAAAGAAACATTACAGGGCAATTGGGATTATATTTGAACCAGTCCACTTGAACATTTACATTGAAAATATTCAAAATGATAAAATAGCAGTACCAGAAAAAAATACAACAATATTTCTTTTTTAGAAGTATCTTATGCCAGGAGAATTGCGTCAAATTTCTAGTCACTGCACAGGCTATGTGAGAGGTCCCAATACTACTTCTATTTCTACGAAGACTACTTCTATTTGGGTAAAAATACAGAAAGATACAGAGGGTATATGACTTTTCAAAAACCTACATATAGCATCCAAAGCATGGTCCTTAATCTACGCCAAAAAAAGGATGTCTCCCCCATAAAGAAGCATCTTCACCAATATTTCATATCTTTTATTTCATTCTGTAATAACATTGTTTCTGTATGTTCTAATAGTGATGAATGGAAATAAACCAAACCAAACCAACCCAACCAATATCACAGCCTTTTCATCTTTATAGACTTCATTACAAATTCACACGCACTTCTCTACAATTGCTCTACTAGGGCCTACAGTTAACGTCCTATTATATAACCTCTGAAGTATACATTTCATGCTATTCTACAACTTGTTTTCTCACCGGTATCCTTTCCTTACCTGGGCAAGGGAATGCAGTCTCATACGTGGTACCAACCGGGCAATAGTGCCCCGTTGGGCATAGACTGTTGATGTAGTCTGTGTTACCGGTGCCCTTACAATAGAATCCTGCAGCCAAAAATAAAGACAAACGTAAATTTAAGGCACCGTTTCATTTCAAAATTCTTGTGAGGTAGGTGTCAGACAGAATGGTCTGACCGATACATTCATTATCGGTTGGCTATCAGGTGAAGTGTTCTCAAGTGGCCAATTCTAACTGATAAATGCCTTTATGTTGCATTACCTCCAAGGCTATGTGGTTTCAGTGGAGCAACACCCCCCTCCATTATTCAATCAACACAAGTCACTGTTATTACTTATTTATCGGTCGAATGGCCAGATCCTTTAGTCAATTTTGAAATGGCGCCTTGAGAAACAGCAAGACTTGCACAGGATGTGCCATTCATATAGAAGGCGCCAGTTTGAATGCAGCTTCCACTCACTTCAAGATTTCAAACTGAGGCAGGACGGGGTAGTGGGGGGATGGAAAGCACTTGGGGTCTGTACCCCTTCCCCTCTTTGGTCATGACCCTCTGTGATGTAAGCTTTCCAGGAGGCAGAGATACATGCGCTCATATTTTGTGCCACGTGGAACAATTTGTAAGAGTCTACAGCACATGGTGTGCACTCAAATTAGATTTGGAAAAGGTCATGTAAAAAAAAAAAAAAAACAGGTGAATACCATTTCCTCAATGTTGAAATTTTCATACGTGCAAGGATTTTTCAGATGAATTAAAGTCATATATGCAGAGTTACTATTCACTTCATTTGATTATGAAATCGCTCCTTCTGATGAAAACTGGGGACCAGACAAATTTGAGCAAAATTGAAGTGATCAAAAAAGATCAAGATTTCACACTAGTTTCCACAAGTACATGTATTTCAATCTAAACTCAGAGTGATTTTCCCTCCAAAGGGTTGAGTCCCTGCTTTCACTCATTCAGATTTTTAGAGAACAAAACCGGCCAGAGTTGTTCATAGAGAGAGTTGCGCACATGACTGTCTCAATTGTCAGAACCAAAATGGTGGATTATGCATCAGTGCACACACAAAGAACAGCCATTTTTGTTCCTAAGTCTAAAGTTTGCACTAATCTTTCTATAAATAGTTCTGGCTTCAACCATGCATTTTGCAACTTCATTATACTACATCAACCAAGGACTGAGCTATATTCATACTGACCAGCGGGGCAGGGCAAGCAGGCGTCGGTCTGTGAGGAAGATCCGTTGTAAGGGTTGTAGGTCCCCGCCGGACATTCATATCGGGTCTTGCCGTCACACCAGCCGCCAGGCTCGCAGATGTCAGCGTCCGGGTTGGGCTTGGTGGAACCCTCATCACAAGTGTAGCCAGCCTGGCAGGGCTTGCAGCCCACCCAGCCGGCCTCCGACCAGGTGCCCGGGGGACAGACTTCGGGAACTGCCAAAGCAAAAAAAAGGAAACATTTTGGAGGACTGTAGAGGATTGAGTTGGCATTCTAGCACAAATGTTTGGGGCATTATACAATATTGTCAGTACCAATGGTTCCAGCTGTCAGTCTTGCTCTTTATTGCATTCATCTGCTTAAACTTCCACCAGAAACTGTGTGAACTGGAAATCCCTCACTAGAAATCCAACTCCAACCTCAGGAAGACAGGTTGTTAAGAAGCAGAAAATAAAAGCAGAGGAACTTGCCATAGTAAGTGATGCAAGGATTTTAATAATGACAGAATTGCAGAAATGTGAACCATCCAAGTCTGTCAGACATGAATATTTCAAGTTTGAAAAAAAGAATGTGCTTTCCTGAATACACATCAGTTTTTGCCGACCGCTGCTGATTCAACAGAGTCTCACATGATCTGTTTCAAACAGATTCATCAATGCAAACCTATGTCAAATGCAATTTTTAACAAAATTGGACTTTAAACTTTCACAAAAAAAATTTAACGGGCTGGTAATCAAAATGTATACATGTACATGATACACAGCGCAACTGCCCTTATTGTTGACCATGTTTACCAGCCATTCACAATACCTGTTTGATCTGAGCACTGGTACCCCGCCTCACAGATGGTGCAGTTGACCGCATTCAGGCCACTGTAGTAACCCCTGGGGCACTTGACGGGACCGGAGTAGATGGACGAACAGAAGTAGCCCGGATTGCAGTTGGTACAGGCTATCTGGGTGCCCAGGGAGTAGGTTCCCGGCTGGCACATGTCACTGGGAAAAGATTGAATGCAACATTACAGGGGTATGAGTGGCCACTTAAAATTAAAGCTGAAAACAGCCAGTAAAAAGCTGAAATGTACAATATTTCTATAATTCAGACAGACCAGGTGTACAAAAAAGCTAAAATTCAGGGTCAACAACTAAACAAAAAGCTGAAATCAGCTAAAAAGCTGAATTCTCACACCCCTCTTATGTCAGGGAAGCGATGTGATGGTACATTTATGCAAGAATAACTCTCAATCAGATGGGAAACACAGGGGAGTGCACAGGCTGCTGTGCAGCTGGTGTAGGAAGAGCCCAGCCTGCATGCACTGCCTTGCTCAGATTCCCCGCAAGATTTGCCATTGTTTGCAATTACAGTAGGCAGGCGACCGTGCGTGTAGTCGAAAACTGCAGCTCATTTCCACATGAAATCTCAGTGAAGTTTATTGCAGAGGTCGTCACTTGTTCCATGTACGGTTTTTGTCATCGTTCTGATTCAGTGCTGGGTACTACCTCTGCATTTTTTTCTCACACCTTTGGCATTTAGAAAACTGTGAAAAAGCTAACTATGTAAATGTCATGCATATGTGGCATTGTGGTCTTCGCCTATGTCGATGGCAGATGTACATTGGGTTACACGGTTCAGTCAGACTGCCTCCTGGTTGTTGCCTATGAGTGGATATCTACCAATTGTTGGCGGCTGTGGTGGGATATGATGTTCTGAAAACCTGAGGGGCATCTAGCACCCGAGGTGGAGCCGAGGGCACTATGTGAGGGTATTCAAAAGGTCGTATCCTACATGTACACCAATGATTAACTGTTTTGTCATATCTCCATCTTTATGTTTTCACTTCTTTTTCAAAGGGAAATTAAGGGCCACAGAGGAATATCTGAACGCTAGCAGTCAAAGGTCCCTGCATCACCCCGAACACTGCAGGGAGCTATTCAAAGTCAGTGAATACACATGTTGTCATACAACGCCGGCTGATGTAATGTCTAATGATGAGTGTGGCATGCAGTCATACCATCCTGTCACATGATCATTCTGGGCCAATGAAAAAACAGCATCCAGCATGTCCAGGACAGGCATATGACAGGGAAATAGTAGTGGCTCTAATCATACATGTAATTCTCTAAACCCTGGTAACTACCTGGGGGCCACGTCCTTGCTTGTGCAGTAGTAGCCAGCTGGGCACTCGGTGCAGATAGAGGCATTGCCCAGGGAGTAGTATCCGGTGGGACACTCCAGCATCTGATCCACAAACGTGCTGGGGCAGAAACTGATGGTAGAAAAACAAACCAAAAACACAAATTAAAAGCATCATGTCAGTGCGTAAAGGCCCTTGCTGAAACATTGCATTCAAAAGTCCTTCTTGAAAAAAAGACTATTTTAAACTAAAACCTGAAATGAGTTGGACCAAGAAAACCAAATTAATAAATAAAAGGACAACAAATGTAGTCTGTTTCCATAAAATACTTCCTTCATGCTCAAAGTATGCCCTAAAGAGTATTTTCTAAATTACATATTTGCTGTAATGACTTTTTAGCACTTAGCCAACAACACATGAATGATTCCTTTGTACCGTACACCGTCAACTCCAAGGGGTGTAAAGTCAGTCCTACGCACTGTTTTTCTTGCAACCAGAGTTTGCGAGATATATTCAATTACACAACACCAGAGTAAATCTCTGTTATCTGAATTGTAGATTATGTGGCATTATAATGTGAAGCACGGCCATGGATGAATTATACCGGTGTAACTGCATGGGCATATGCATGATTAGTATGACACAAATTCGCCTTCCCCCTTGCAGTAAAGAGACTTACAAGCCAGCATCGCAGCCCGTGCACTCGCTCTGCTGTCCCGTGGAGTAGAACCCACTGCTGCAGGCCACCTTGTAGTCACTGTTGGTCTGAGGACAGGCAAAGCCTGCTGGGCACGCCACGCAGGCTGTGCTCTGTGACGTACTGTACTCTCCCTCGGTACAGTTGCGGATGTCCAGGCCGTCTGTCCGGGGACACTGGGAGCCCGCCGGGCAAACCTGGCACTGAGTGGCACCCTCAGAGGAGTAGGTTCCCGGGGCGCACTCCACCTCAGAGTTATCCCTGAAAGGAAGATAACCAACAATGCAAACTGTATTTTAAAATGTGTTCACATTTCCTTTGCATACATCTATTTGGTAGGCTATGTTCGCCTCGTCACCCCTATTGTCGTGTTTACAGACGCGTATATGCTTGATTTTTCATTCTCTTGTTGTTTTCTTTTTGTTTTTGCTGTAGGCCCCTGATTGTTATTTGTAAAATTTTACTTCATTTGTACTGTACGTTTGTTATAAATTTTGTTATTTGTGTTGAGGTCGAATAAATAATAACAATAAAAATGCCTATCTAATGTAAAATAAAATCCTACCCAGTATTAAGCATTCTCCCCATTTCAATGTTTAACCTACTTGAGTTTAAGTCAAAGTGCGTGCCTTTGAAAGTCATTTACCCTAAAAGAAGACCCATCTCGCCTGTAACATTTTATCCGACATTATCCAAATACCTTTTTTTCTTGTTTAACCCACAGGAATTTTGTAAGTAATGTCTAATGATCATCTTGAACTGATTGAATGAACATCAGACTATTTTTAATAATATAATGCAAAGTTTTGTTTCACAGACATGTCAATCAGAAATGTTCTGAGAAGCTGACAGGATGGATTCATACTCCACAGATGTACAGTTTTGTATGTGCCAGGGTTTAAAAAGAGTGGAGTTATGACATCGGAGATCTTCGGGTCTCGAAAAGGGTAAACAACCAGCCTCATTTATAATTCCAAAATTCAGCAACAACGACGTTCATTCTCCCACAGCAGGAATACGCCAAAATGAGTAATCCAATATCTGACTACCTTTGTTGTTCACATTTAACGGATATTGAATTTAATCAAAAGCTGATCTCCGGAGTCATGGCACTAGGATGCCAACATAGTCTGGAGCCGGACAGGAATTTCCCAGTTCTTCCCAATGGGTTTCTTAAATTTGACAACATGATCAGCATCTCAATTTGTGTTTTACAATGAACAAAATGAGTCAATTTGGTTTAATGTATTTTACCAGTGCCGTGTTCATTTGCTTGTTCTATGACATACACCTACATGTATGTTGAAATTATTTTATTTTGTTTCAGTGTTCATTGTATGTTCCAGCAAAGTAAAAATCTTGTGATGTGAGGTTTATCATTACTTAATAGTCTGTAATATGCAAGGCTCAAATGGAAGCCATTTTTTAACTGTTTGGGCATGCCCTGGGTAAAGAAATGGAGTATTAAATAAACGTGTTCAAGGGTTTAAATAATGACCATCAAAGGCAAAGCTGAATGCAGAAACACGAGCACTTGGGCAGTTTGGGGTGGGACAAGGAACAACAGGCTTTAGAAGTACACAGCTGGCTAGAAGTAAAGCGAACATTTTTCAAACCACTTTGTACATACCTTGTACTTGGACAGAAGTAGCCGGCAGTGCAGACGGTACACGACAGGGCCTTGCCAGTAGCATAGGATCCTGCTGAGCAAGCCATCCGGCCTGCATAGGTGTGGTTTGTGCAGGCATAACCTGGCGGGCAGTCCGTGCAGGCTGTCGCCCCTGCAT